GGACGCGCTTGACAGAGAGCTCTGAAGAGGCTTTGGAGCCATCCACCACTTTGGAAGTGGTGTTCCAAGTTCTAAGAAAACCAGGGGGGAAAAAGCACTCATTCCTCGTCTCAAGTAAAATCTAAGGCAGAACCCAGAATATAAAGCCAACAAGAGTCACCCAGGCTAGTCAGGAAGAGATGGCTGTGCCTTTTTTGTGTGTGTTCTCTCTCCACACCCCATCCTGTGGGTTCCTCAGACTGGATTCAGCTGTGTAGGGTCCTCGGGTTAAAGTGGCCACGCTCTGGTTCAAGGCGGGGGCGGGGGAGAAGCCCCGCCTTGTCAGCCTCCCCCCGACCTATACCCGCTCCCAAAGCAGCCCTGGGGAGCCCAAGGCTCTCAGCAGCGTCGTGGTTTGGGTTTTTATTCATGCTTAACTAGCTTTTCTACCGATGAGAAACTAGACCAGGGAGGTAACGTGATTTCCCAAAGACAGACAGAGAGTCATCCGATGTCAGAATCAAGATTGTTACCATCCACAGATAACTGAGTCTGCGGTTGAAGGGCAGGATGTGTGGATGTGAGGAGAGCGGAAAGCTCTGACGGCCTGTGCCCACCAGGGCCTCACCAGCCCGCAGGCATCCACGAGACCTCGTGACCCCTGGGAACCGAGGCGCTGCCTCCTCTGAATCCCCTCAGTGGGTCAGACCTGGGAGTGGATGTGGGCCCGGGTGCCAGTGGCGGCCCTAAGGAGAGAGCAGGGAGAGGGGAGGGATGGGGACAGGGGACACGGTGACAAGGAAAGGACGCACGGGGCGGGTGGGGTTGGGGAATATTGTCGGGAGGGAAGGGGAGGTGCTGGGAAGGGGAAGAGATGGAACCACTTGAGCGGCGAGGTCCCCGCTCCAGGCGGCTGCGGCGGAGGGTCCTTGGGAACCCTGGGCGGCCCCTCGCCCCCCCACCCGCAGTTGTGCGTGGCTGCGTCTGGCGCGTCCCAGCCTTGTCCTCACGCCTCCTCCAGCCTTTCAACCTCGACCCACAGTGGGGCCTGGAATCAGGCTGCCCCAGGGTGGCTTCCAGGGTTGCCGGGGTTCCCGAGATCACAGAAACGGCAGGTCCCGTGCTGGACCTCGGTGCGTTCTCAGGGCTCTGGGAGCCCCAGAACCAGGCCCAAGGGGGCCCTGAGAGGCCAGAGGCACCCGGACATCAGCCGGCCGGAGAACATCCACAGCTGCACTGTTCTCCACCCCCGGGTGTTTCTATGGCAACACACAGTGTTTTGAAAGGATGACCAAGCTGTTTCACTTGTTTACGTTTTCTTGTTTGTTTTTTGGTTTTGAAGAGAGGGTTGGAATTAATTCTGTAAGGACACCCATGCCTCTAACGTTAGAGTGAATACAGCGCTGCTCACAAGAGCGGTGCTGCACACATGCACACCCACGTTCACCCACCTCACAGGTGACTGTGCCCCAGACTTGGTGACCACAGGCCCTTTGCTCCTTCCCTGGGTTCTTGTCTGGGCCCTTCTTCCTGGCTCCTGGGCCCTCTTCAGTTCTGTCTCAGACCCTTAAACCTCGTACTGAGGAGTCCGACCCACTCGTGTCTTAGGGGGTCAGCGGGGCCCGGGAGGCAAAGCAACGAATGCACCTTGGGCATCGGGCCAGGAAGTCCAGCTCATCCTGCGTGCTCCACCTGTACCTGCCCAGCCTTATCATCAGTGTCCTGGCCTTTCCGCCGGGAGGTTACTTAGATAACCTCTGAGGTCCTTTTATCTCTCAGACCCCATGGATTTAAGCAGGACCCAGGTCACTTCTCCTGGGAGACGATTCCCAGGACGCGGAAGCACTCCCTTGGGCTGAGGTCGTCCCGTAGGGGATGGACCCCAGCCTCAGCTCTCCTCTGGTCCACACGCTCTCCAGGGCCACCTCGTCCAGCCGCCCCTGTGAGCCCAGCTCCGTGCGAGCCCACCTCTACGTCCAAGTCCAGGAGCTCCGCCTTGAGTACAGAACGCTGGCCTCTCCTCTTCCTCAAGGCCCCACCGCGGCGAGAGGGTCCTCCACCCAACCCGAGGGGGCCGCGCCCTTCTTTCCCTGCCTCTTCTCCGACCCCCACGTGCAGCCAGAAAGCAAATCACACGCCTTCTGTGTCCCAGGTCCCCCTGCTTATCTCCAGTCCCCCGTCTCGGCCTCAGCTCAGGCCTCCACGCTCTCGGCGTGGGCCACCCCCGCCCCATTGCCCCATCGTGACAGTGCCAGACGGCAGCGCACACCACAGCAGGGCCGCCGTCTCCTCAGAATGGAAGCCAAGTGTCCAGGCCTGGCCCCAGAGCCCCCGGTCCCCTTGCTCCGGCCCACCTCTCCAGCCCGTCCCCTCCCGGCCTCTCTCCAGCCACGGCCTCCACACTTTCCCCATTTACCTCTCTCTCCACCGGATGCCTGACCCACCCACTTCAGCTGGCAGCTCTCCGTCCTCCGAGCCTTCACTCCAGGGCACGGCTTACCTGCTGTACTGGACTCTGTCCATCTGTCCCCATTGTCCCCAGAGCTCCTGGAGGTCAGTTTCTGAGCCCTTTCTCTTGAATCTCCGGCACATAAACATGTCCGTGAACGGTTGAGTGAAGGACTCGCTGCCATGTCCGTGGTTCCTTCTCGTCTCCACCTGTTATGTCACATGCTGTGGATTAGGGAGTGGGCCTCATGGGGGAAACTTACAAAGGCCGAGGGTCAACAAAAGAAGACACACGTCCCCAGGTCCTCCGTCTCACAGGAGGTGCAGCAGGTCTAGGACGCGCCGGGGCTGCGGTGTGAGCCTGCACGGCAGTGGAGGGACCCGGGACCCCTCCTCCCCCATGGCTTTCTCTTTTCATAGAGGAATCAGGAAGGGAAGGCAGCCTCGCAGACGAGGGAGTGAACACACTGCTTGGTGCCAGGCAGGCGGGGCTGGGAGTGCAGCTGTTTAAGGAGTTGTCCGAGATGCCAACCCGCCAGCACACAGGACACTCGGAGCCCTGGGGTATGGCTGTCCTCCCTGCCGTGGGGAAGGGGTACTCCGAGCTGGGTTGCTACCTGTCCCAGAAAGCTCACTGTGCAAACAACCCAGAGGGCTCTCCAGCGTCACTGTCCAATGACTCAGCTGGTTGTGCCTCACCAGTAACGTGTGACTGGATGGAGGGGTGGTGGGGTGAAGGCATCTAGCACACAGGTGAACACATGAAAGCCCCTGACACAAATGGGTACCCAGCTTACGTTTGTTTCCCTTCTCATCCCTGCTCCAACTTCGTAAATTTCCGCAGAGGTTTCTGGGGGTGCAGAGGAGGTGGCCCTGTCATCTGGGGCTAAACGTGGACGCTCTGAATGGTCTCGGGGGCGGGGGCTGAGTGGCTGGACGGCTCACCTTCCACAGTCGTCCTCTGGTGTGTCGCGCCCTTTTGGAGCATGCATGCCCTTTCAACACGGTCCTGATGTACCTTTTTATCCAACATCACCTACTTTTTAAAGACCAGAGGTCCTACGCACTGGGGTTTGTTCCTGGGTCGCAGACCCCTGGGAAGCCACGTCCCAGACCAACTTCAAGATGACAGAATGGGTGGGAGGTAAGGACAAGCCTGCCTCGGAGATGCTGGCGGAGTCCCGCCTCCATGCCCTTCCCGTGGTTGCCGCTTATCTGGGCCTTTCTCAGCACGTGGACCAGTGGTTCTTGAGCTTCAGGTGCTCCAGAGACACCCGGAAATGGTCTGGAATGTGCGCTTCCAGGCCCCGTAGCCGGACGGTCTCCTCCAGTAGGTCTGGGCGGGGCCCGGGGCTCTCCCCTTTTTCACTTTGTGCCCCCAGACTTCATCCTGAGCTAGGCTGGGTGAGGCCAGCACGCGCTCAGCGTCGCGGGGGTCAGGGAGGGTGGGCAGAGCGCGGGGGGCGTTGGGACCAACCTGACCTCCCTGCAGGGCTTCCCATCGGTGCCCCAGGCCTCGGAGCACCCCCTCCCAGCAGGGTGGGCAGCAGCCCGTATGCCTCCTGCGAGACAGTGGGCGTGGGACCTGGGGTCTTCAGTGAAGCCCCTCCTGGCCTGCAGAGGAGAAGCCGGGCCTGGGGTCCGAGGCGGGAGCTTCCTGGAGGCTCCCGCGGAGACGAGCGCAAAGCACCGGTGTGTGAAGGCCGCGGCCGCCTCTGCCGGCGGGGCCTTGAAGGCTCTGCGCCGGGGACAGCGTGGGAGAGCGGCTGCTGCGGAGGGTGGGGTGCCGGTGAATCAGCCCTGAGTCGGCTCTAACCAGCCGGAGTCAGTCCTGCCGAGCGTGGGCTCCAGGGACAGGGCCACATCCCACAGCAGAGCCCTCTTGGAGAGGACAGAGTGCGGAGAGCGGAATAGCACCGCCCCTCCGCCACCCAGTGCCCGCCCCCATCCTGGCAATGCTGGGGTCCCTGTGGACCTGGTCTCGCTCTTTGGACAGAGAGTTCTTTTTCCTCAAGGAAGAGGGCTCGCCCAGGTCGGGCTCAGCGCATGTGGGCAGCTGCCTCTGTTTCAGCGGCTGGCGGAGGTTTCCATGCTCTGCCTCTTGGCGGCTGGGTATCAGAGACCCCGGCTGTAGCTTCAGGGTTTGTGACTCAGAACTGTGGCACTTTCCCCGCCCTTCTGTCTCAGCCCTTTCTCAGCACCAGCTCCCGTCCCGGCATCCTTGGGTCCCCTTTAGAGAAGGCATCGTGAGTTCTCTTCTGAGGAGTACAAGGAACTGCTCACTGATGACCTAAGACGTTTCTCAAAGATGTGCGATTTTTCACCACCCTAATTTCTGCATTTTAACATCTGAAGACTAAAACGCCCCTTCCTGCCCAGCGGGTCAGAGCTCTCCTGTGGGATGGACCGTGGGGCTCGGGATGTGGCCTGGGGGGGGGGGGAGGGCCCCCGTTCCGGGCTCCGACCGTGGAGGGGGTCCCTTCTCCTGCACCACCTTGGGGGACCTGCTGGGTCAGAACTTTCCAAATCCCCGTCTACTGACTCCTTCTCTCTCTTCTGCTTGTGTTTCCTAGGAACGGGTGGAGTATCTCTTCCTCATCATTTTTACTGTGGAAGCATTTTTAAAAGTCATAGCCTATGGGCTGCTCTTCCACCCCAATGCTTACCTCCGCAACGGCTGGAACTTGCTGGATTTTATCATTGTGGTTGTCGGGTGAGTACGGCCACCCCTCCCCTCCCTCCGCCGCCCTCACCCAGTACCGGCCCCTTCCCATCCGTATCTGTGTCTCTGGTCACGAGGACCCTGGACTTCAGGCCAGATGAGAGGATCTACTAAAAATCACTTTGGATTCAGACTGTCTCCAAAGGGAGAGGAGCTGTCACCTGGAACAGCCCCGGCCGCCGTTCCCACCTGCACACGCGTGCACACGCACACATGCGCACACACACACACGCACATGTGTGCGCACAGGTGAATCCGAGGCCTTCTGGTGGAGCCCAGGGGCCTCTGTGCAGCCAAGGAGATGCCCCAGCTGTAGGTCTCCCTCTGGGCCTCACTTGGCGCAGCAGCCCCTTGACGCCTCCCCTGCTGTGCGGCCGGGTGTGGCCGAGTGCGTCTGGTTGGGCTGGACGGAAGGGCGGCTGGCACCCGGGAGCCGGGACACCCACCTGCACGTCTGCGGGGTCCTGGCTCGGTGGCTGCCGGGACCAGACAATGGGACTAGGAAGGGCCGAGGACACGGGGCCAGACGCACTTCCCCGGACACCCCCGCTCTGCTGTAGGGGCCAACTCAGCCTACGCTCAGAAACAAAGCGGCGTCGGGAAGCTTCAGGAAACCCTGGAAGTGACGATCTCCTTATCAAGGCATCGGTAACTTCAGGAAAAGATTCTCTGTGGAATGTTTGTACAAAGAGACCCGCACGCGCCGCGAGAGACGCGGCTGGCCGGGCTCCAGTCACTCGTCCGTCTGCGGAGGGCAGGGTGCCCGAGCCTCGGGGCTGACCTGGCGTTGCTTCATGCCCACCTGCCGTTCACTCCCTCGCTGTCCCCGCAGCCTCCGGGGTCAGGTCAGCGCGGCATTAGGCTCCTACCCCGGGGGGCCCTTCCCAGCCGCCCCGGGAGGATGTAGCCCTGGTGGCCTCCCCAGAGCGCGCCCTGCTCAGAGCCCCGTGGGCGCCCGGCCTTTCCTGCAGGAAGTGTCGGAGCAGATCAGGGCCATCTGGGAGCGAGTCCCTGTCTCCGGGAGTCTGGAGCTGTTTCCGAGTTTTCGCCGCTGTCCTTTTTTGCCTGGCCAAGCATGACGTGCTTTGCATTAACATCAGGGACACTTGGGAGGCATGAGGGACACGGAGGTTTCTGGACTCTGCCACGTGCGGATGTCAGGGTGAGGCTGCAGCTCCGCGAGACATTTGCTACTCCTGTTCACTGCAGGATAAACAGAGTGACGGACAAATGCCTTGAACTAACTCAGCAAAACCGTGGCAAAGTCCTTTAACATGCTTCTTCCTGATACATCTAAATCCTTTTCAATTCAGCATCGCCCTCAAGGCCCGAGTCTCCTGGGAAGCTTTCACACACTCACAGAAGGAACCCAAGGAATGAGATCTGGTGCTTCTGGGGCCAACAGAGAGGAGAGGCGCCTCTTGGGGCAGAGAAGCTAAGTCCTCTCCTGTCTGTGGGCCGAGCTGCCGTTGGTCTGTTCGATGCTCTGCCCCACACGTGGCCTCACCTCTGTGGGGGGGTGGAAGCAGGAGACCCAGGTGGACCTCAGACAGGGGCCCATCTCCCACTTGCATGGACCCGGCTCCTCCCGAGACTGCAGCAAGTGGACTGCTTGTGGGTCAGCCCAGATCCCCGCCACATCTCCCCGGGCCCGGGCCATCAGGCTGAGGAAGAGAGGGAGGCGTCCAGGCTTGGCACTCTCCCAAGGGTGCCTCCATCGACTGTTTATGACACGGAGGCTACGATGCCAGCGCTGGCTCAGCTTGTGGTCCACCATGACCCTCTGGCTTTTTCCCGTTGATCTCGCAATCAGCCGCATTCAGCACCTGGTTTCTCTTCTCCAAGGCGCTGGTCTTCGGGGCTCTCCATCCAGTCTAGACCCAGCCCGTCCTTCTAACTCGGAAAACGACACACCCCCATGGAGGGTGTGGCCCAACCACCTCTCTTCAGCTGTGCCCTCCCATCCCGACCCCTTACATGGATGTGCCTTTGCTTCCTCGTGTCTCCTGGGAAATACCTGCTCCCCTCAGCCCTCCTGCAAACTAGAGGGAGTCTGCCTTGCTCCGGGGGAGGTGGACTTGCCCGCCTGAGTGCCAGGCTGAGGGCCCCTCTCCCTTCTCTGCCTTGCCACCCAGGAGGCCAGTGCCAAGGCATTGCCCTCCCCCCACATGCCCCATTCCTTCCGGAAGTGAAGGAGTCTTCTCGGAACAGTGGGGACATGGGGCTGCTGAATGGATGTGGGCGGACTTCAGAGCCTCTGTGAGCTACTCCCCTCCGCCCCCATCAGGCACCCGGGAGCCCTCCCCGCACCCCCCGCCAGGCAGCCGGGAGCCCGCCCTCCGCCCCCATCAGGCACCCGGGAGCCCTCAGCAGATGCGCCTGCCCAGACCGTCTACTCCAGCCTAAAGGGCCTCACTATGTCTCCAGCTTCCTCCCAATATGGGGCCCTGCCTCTTCGGCTCACAGGGCCTCTAGAGACCATCGTCCTCTCTGACAAGCTCTAACGTCTGGCTGAGGAACTGCCAGACACACCGCCTGGAGAAGGTCCCTGGCCCTTAGGCACCGGTGGGCACCAAGCAGTGGTTTCGCCTCTACAAAGTGTGACTGAGGAGAAACACGCCGAGCCCTGCAAGCTGAGAACACCTCTGAGGCCCATTCCTGAAATTTCTACCCCTTCAGGGATTAAAGGAGGGGATGGCTGTTCAATCTCTGTTCCCTTTTCCCTGAATGACATTTGTGAACATCTTGTACATTGATAAGCATGTTCCTTTCTTCCAGGAAGTCCTAGGAACCAAATCTGGTTTGGATTTGGAATGTTGTTTAACAGACTTGCAAACTGGTGTCCATGTCCTAAGTTTCTGTGATCCAGGCTTCCACGGAAAGAACATTTCTCTGCAGAGAAAGGACCCCGCTTCCCCCACCCTGGAGACCTCTGCCTGGGATGGGAGGTGTCACCAACTAACGCATGGACCCGTCTAACTGCCAAGCTGGGGTGAAGGAATCACAGAACAGGCAGGACATCAGATGTGGTCTGGCCACAGAACCCACTGTGCAGACACAGCCTACTCGGGGTCCCCGCGTGGAAAACAGACCAAAGGGAAGCCACTCATCCCTGGCCTCGCTGCCCAAGAAGTCCCGGGGGGTTCTCCGGAGCACGTTTTGCAAATCCCTTTTTAGACCAGCTCCCTCCACTGGGCCCTGCCTGGGTCTAAGCTTCTGCTAAGCCCCCAGCTGCAGCTTCCCTGTTCCCAGACCCAGCCCCCTGGGGCAGGAGTCATAGGAGCCCCAGCCTGTTCCTGAAGACCAGGCTGCCCAGGCCCGGTTCAGGTCTGGTCCCTGGGCGTCTTCCTCGGCCCCAGGCACGACCCAGTGCGCTCTACTGACCATGAGTCAGTGGGACGTCTCTAGGTACAAAGACAAAGATGGTCCACGGGGCCCTTTCCCATATTCTTCTCGGTTCCCACAAGTGGCCCAGGATCCCAGACTCCCATTCCCATACATTCTCTGCACGTTCTAATCCCTCCCGAAACCTTTCCAAGGTGCCCCGTGTTCCCCACAATCCCTCCGCATTTCTGGTCTTAGCAAACATTTTCTGTAAAAGCCCAGATACCAGATTTCAGCTTTGCAAGCTTGGTCCCAACCACTCGGCTCTGTCGAGAAAGCATCAATATGGAGCAGGGTGTCGCTGGATCCTCATCAGATTTATTCCAGAGCAGGGAGCCCAGTGCTGCCCTAACCCCAGCACCGGTCCCTCCTTCTCTCTCTCCTTCTCCCCGCGGGTCCTGCTGCCCTTGCCGTCTCTCAAGATACGGCCCCTCCCCTCCAAATGCTCGCAGGCCAGGAGAGGAGCCCTGCTTCCTCTTATTCTGCTTTCAGACCACCGCCCCCCTCCTCCCTAAGCCCCTCCAATTCTTTTTTTTTTTAATTTACTTATTTTATTTATTTTACCTTTGGCTGCATTGGGTCTTCGTTGCTGTGCGCAGGCTTTCTCTAGTTGCAGCGAGCAGGGGCTACTCCTTGTTGCGGTGCAGGCTTCTCATTGCGGTGGCTTCTCTTGTTGCGGAGCACGGGCTCTAGGTGTGCGGTCTTCAGTAGTCGTGGCTCGTGGGCTCAGTAGTTGTGACTCGTTGGCTCAGTAGTTGTGTCTCGTGGGCTCTAGAGCGCAGGCTCAGTAGTTGTGGCGCACGGGCTTAGTTGCTGCGCGGCATGTGGGATCTTTCCAGACCAGGGCTCGAACCCGCGTCCCCTGCATTGTCAGGTGGATTCTTAACCAGTGCGCCACCAGGGAGGCCCAACCCCTCCAATTCTGATGCTTGTGTCCTCAGACCCTCTACCCCCTGCTTCTCCAAGTCGTGGTCCTCCCACACCTTTGAGTCTCTCCTTGTCTGTGGAGACGCGAGCTCTTGGCCAGCTCCTCCTCTGCATCACGCACTGTCCCGCCATCAGCCTCCCAAGCTTCTTGGTTCCTTGATGTCTTCTCCCCCAGGGATCCTGACTCTGTCCCGTCTCAGCTGCCCACTCCCAGGGTCGAAGTCAGGATCCCCGCCATGGCCGCGAGCCACATCCTCTCCGTGACCTCAGACCAGCTTCCTGCTCTCCAAAAAATACCACCCATCCTTCCTGCTCCCTCCGTCCAGCGCTGGACTCCGACAGTGCCCTCCTCCTGCCCTGAGGTCATCTCTCACCTGTGTCTGCACTCAGCTTTTACTTCTCTCTTCATTTCCTTGATCACCTTGCAAAAGCACCAATTCCGACCCAGTCCAACCAGCTGGTACCTGAGCTGTGCCCTTGGGGCGGGTAGAGAAACGCACAAGGCTGAGCTTATGTGTCACTTCCCCTCATGACCACCTCCTCCCAGAGGCCCTGGGTGCCTGGAAACCCTACTGCACGGCCTGGCTCCATTCACCCCCCCCCCCCCCCCT